TGAACCTACAGCGGGTCAATTAGTTCTTCAAATGTTACCTTTAAGTTAATTTTATAGTTTTGTGATATTAATAATGCTAATACATTGATATTTTTCTAGTTTTGATTTAAGTTTGCTTGTTTAGCGTCGTCACAGTTGCTAGGTGACAAGACGTACGCCGGGGTAAGGAGGGGAGGCTAGACCGTCCAAATTCACAGCCTCTTTTTTTCCGGTCTTCCCGGTCTACCAAGGACCCGGCCCGCCGCGACCGGGTAGTCTGGGTCCTCCGGAGGACCCGGCCTGTCGTTTTGGACACAGCCACAGTGTGGGCGCTAGCGCGAAGGCTAACAGGCTAAGCTGAGGTTCTTCTTCCATGAAGCAGCTCTGTTGTCCTCCATCCATATTTTCAGTTCCAGGCTGAGTCATTTCTACCTTCTCCTCTCTGTCAACGCTCTCTGGTTTCATTTAAAAGAGTCAATCTTCAGATATTGTCTAAGATTAACCTTCAGGGTGGATACAGCTCGCTCACACCGAGAACCTATACACATTGTCATTTACCCAGAATGCTTTGCGTGTAAATAAAATGGCTCCATCCATGTTAAAATACATTTTAAAAAAATTACAAAACTAAACAGCCTACAGTATTTTTACAGTCTTTATTTTACTGTTAAAATAAATGTTTATCAAATAAAGTCTAATGTTACAACTAATCAGATATTGATTTGGTCTTACTTTGACGTGTTGAGTGCTTTTTTTATTTATTGAAGACCAAATCATTTTAATGAGCAGGGAGTGAAATCTGATGCATCATTTCCTCAAAGCATGTCACCCTTCACCAACACCAACTTCCTCCTTCTCCTTGTAAACCCAGAGATGTCACGCTGAGAAACGCATTTCCTGTCAGGCCGATTCACCTCGTCGATCAGCTTCCGAGCGTTCGCAGTGGCGTATTCCCCGGCGAAGAAGACGAAGAGGCAGGACTCCTCACTGTCCTTGCGCCTCCCTCCCTTCGTCAAAGGCACGATGCTCCGCGACGGCTCGGCGGAGATCCGGACGGACTTGAACTCCGACTCGGGGTCGGGCGTGGGAACGAAGTCCAGAACCAGCGAGTCCTCTGGCAGCAAGCCCCAGTTGTTCTCTCCCGACAGCGGCGTGAAGTCGTGGATGTTGCTCCAGTTGTTGTTGAATATGCTCAGGCCGGCGTCCTTGAAGTGGAAGGCCAGCTCGGGGTAGAAGTACTGGAAGCAGCCGAACTTCATCCCCGTGGACGACTCGATGATGGGCTGGGTGGCGCAGCACAGGAACACATCCATCTTTGTGCAGTCCCGCGTGCGGAACTGCTGGCAGGCCACCACGCACTTGATGTCTTTACAGTCTCTGAAAAACACACTCCCCTTCACGGGGCCCAGAACGAGGCGGCAGTTGACACAGTCGTCGATGGTGATGGTTGCAGAGTGGTCAAACACGTAGATGTTGCAGTTGACACACTCCTGGATGACAAACTGCTGCCCGTTCAGTTTCCCAGGAAGACGGCCCACTGTGACGTCTTTGAGCCCCGTCAGCATGTAGTCCTTAGGGTCCACCTGCCGACAAACACAGACCAGTAAATCAGAATTCAACCCACGACTGCAGAACCTAATACCAGCCCAGTATATTCCCACTCCTGTACAACAACAAGTGATGAATAAAAACGTTTTTAAACATGCGTTAAGCTTTTTCTTGTTTAACAAAAATACAACATCAATTCCATGTTTTTCTTGTGTTTTTGTTAATCTGTTAGCAAAATATCTCATGAACCATTTGAGTCGGGCTGTAAATCACCAGCTTTCTCATGATATATTATATCGATTTATTTGGATGACGATTAGGGCTGCCATGATTAGTCGACTAGTCGACGACTAATCGACTATTAAATTAGTGGACGACTAATTTATTAGTAGATTAGTCTTTTTTTTTTTGTTTCTTACTTTGTTTTTCTCTCCAAACTGCTTTGACACCTTCCACTGCCACATCTGCCTTTCTGTCCTTGACACACATGCACAGTAGTGGTAAAACTTCTCTTTAAACAGGCAGTTTAAACAAACATCTCCCATTAACCCTAATTTTTGTCAGATGTTTTGTTTTATACATTGTTTTTATTTGTTAATTGTTATGTGAACTATGATGTCTTATTGTTATTTTATTCTTTGCTTTATTCTTTTGTTTTATTGCATCGTATTTACAT